AAATCCTTCCAAATGTCAGGCAGTTAACTTCACTTTCAAGCATCGATGTCACATACATGAACTAGTTAGTTCTCATGATGCCTGTAGCATAAATGGCACAGAAATTGAAACCAAGTCAAGCATTAAATACCTTGGATTAGTTCTTTCCTCTGACCTTTCATGGTCATCCCAAATTTTATTGATCTCTAAGAAAATGTTTCGTCTTACCTTCTACATTAAAAAGTTAAGACAATCAGGTATCAACCAACCTTTACTTCTGCAGTTTGTAAACTCCTGTACTTTACCTATTGTACTCTATTGCTCTCCATTAATCTTTCCTGGGCCTCTCAAAACGATTATATCATATTACGAAGCATATTAAGTGCTGTGAGTAGAGCTTGTGGTATGCCATTGCGTGAGCTCGCCAATATTATACTCGAGAGACATATAAAATCCTGTACAAAATGGGCAAAGGCCGTACTGTCCCCTGCACTACCTCTATTCACAACTATCCCCTTGTATCTCATCAGGTAGGACGAGAAGACAATATAAGAAGTTATATGCTCACACCACTAAGTGCAAAAATTCTACAATACCCTATTTGGCCCGTATTTTATGTGATGGAGACACTGTCAGACGTGAAACATATAAGTCACTATGTGATTTACCAAAGTGAATCGAACCTTTCATCATCCATCTTTCTGTAATTTTATGGTGTCACCCTTTCTATCATTTAATTATATAATTATATTATAATTAGTTGTTATTACTATTATTACTACAATTTTATACTTTATACATATTATTCTCCTTATCGCTTACGGTAATTGCTACATAGCTGTTATAATAACGTTTTGTTATCATTATTATTATGTAATGTTTATTTTTGAAGTTTCTGTAGCTTCTTCAAGCCACTAGCTTGAAGCCCTATGTTCCACTGGGGAACGTGAAGGAAAAAAATGTTTATTTTTCGTCATTTTGAGTAAATTAGATGCAATATTGTACTGAATGATGAAAATTCTTTGCTGCATCATTAGTACTGTTTTGAAATAAAGCAAAAATTATTATTATTATTATGAAACATAGGGCTTCAAAAAAGTCCTTGAGGCATCCTATTCCCTTTATTCCTCTTTAGCTTGCCGAATCCGCACCTGCGCATTAGCTCTCACCTCCTCTTGACACAAGCTTTCGCATATCACTTTCAGACGTCCAACTCATTGTTTCCCATTTGGGTTACATTCGAGCGATAGCATGGCGCGCAATTTTACTCAATCTCCATGCGTATTTCCTATCCATCTCCATTTGCTTCGGAATATTCACTGAGCAGTGGATCTTCGGATGTTTCGTTGGTTATCACAGTTCCGTGTTGCCAACCCCTTCCTATAGGCCATCTGATCTACGGTATGGAACTAGAGAGGACAGAAGTTGATAAAAGTTTGTAGTGACCTGTTCGAGGTGGTGTTCATGACGCCCCAAGTCTGTAATTCATAAAGAAGAAGTGAACTAACGTTGGTGTTGCAAACCGGGATCCTGTTCTTCATACTGAGTGCAGAAGATTTCGAAATTGACTTCAGGGCGATGAAGTTCTGTTTTTTTCCTTCCCGATTCTGTTTTTTGCATCCTATTGGTTGAAACGATGCTGCCTACAGAAATGAAAGAGTTGACCTCCTCCAGATTTCTTGCAGTAACAATGATTGGTATTTGTTGGTGTTGTTAGTTGTAGGATATCTTCATCACCTCTATCCTCCCCACGATCATTTAAAGTTCTTTCTTCTCTGTCTGCCTCTTCTGACAGCCTCATGGTTTTCGCTGCAAATCTTTGAGGTGATGTGACATAATCCAGCGAAGATGTCTGAATCTCTTCAAAATCTACTATCACAAAGACAATTTAGATCCTTATCTGCAGAACTCGGATAGTTATCAATACAGTAACTTTTTTTAATACTTTCTCAGATCATTTCAACACATCTATTGAAACAAACAAAATATGAAAAAGAGAAGACATTCTCTTTTTCATATGACTCAATGGGGATTTTCAATCTACACAAACAAAATAGTTTATTTGCGAAGCTTTCACTGTCCTACTAAACAATATTTTCAGCACATACTTCAATTCAAATTGAAGTGAGCTTTTAGATTTCTCTGTGATTTTATCAGCCGTCTCTTCTGGTGATCTTGAACGTGACTGGTTGTTTTTGTGTGTTTTCACACCCTGTAGAGGAAACACAACTACATCAAAATCATACACCTGAGCTACAAATTTTCTCCATCATTTCTACAAACAAATTATTATTCTAATTTTTTCAACTACTGAAAAACCTATTCAGTAGCTTAAAACATTTCAAAAAAACTCGTCAAAAGTGATGCAGTATTAATAACTGGGCGATGTTTCATGAACAATTTATTGCTCATAATCATACTAATGTATTCACATGGCTTTATAATTTACTTCTTCCCATTATCCTCCACTCCAATTCTATTATTATAATTATAATAATAAATTGCGAAACCGAAATTAAAGTGTACAACTACAGCACAGCATTATATTGATAAGACCGTTAGCAATACAAATAAAGTAAGATAATATTAGCAGTTATCCAGTGTTACCAGGAGAGATAGCTATTTTAGGTTGGGGGTGAGGCTGGCCAAGGTAGGGAGGGAGAGAGATTGAACAAACGTTTTCTGAACTCAGGGATTGGGTAGAAAATTCATTATTCCAACTGCCTAAGCTATGAATAGCAACCATAGACGTACAAAATGGGGAGTTGAGGTGGTCCTTTGTATATTGTAGTAAAAGCTGAACTTTTGTCAATCTTGTGCGCTGAATCCACTAGGTGTGCAATTGTGGAAATTCTGATTGACTTTATAACTCCGCTTGTAGTACAATTAGCCTTCATACGCACACAAACACATATATACACACACAAAAGAGGACCATGTGTGACTCATTTAGGACTGTGTTTGAGTAGCAAATCTGATATTATAAACAAATAGTATGTTGGTTTCGATTCTTTTATATTGTCGTTGAAGACAAACAGTGATCATGGTAACTGGTTTCAAATGTGCTTGCTTCTCCACACTTAGATCTATGTTGCAGTAAGCCTGTGTCAACACTTCCTTGTCTGTATTGACGAAGAACTCAGGATGGAATCGAATGTCCAATGTAGTCGATTAATCACTGCAAGTCAACTAAAAATAAAGGATGATATTTCAATCTTCCTAAAACCCTGCACTGTTGGAGGAGACCATGACAAATAAACCTCACCAAAGAAATAATCCATAATTCTGCTCAGAAAAGTGATAGCGTAGGGACTATGATAATTGGAGGAGTCGTTTCCTTATTTTTGATACTTACAAATTGGAACTCTGCCTCTTTGTCTGAGTGATATTTCAGAACATTATATACGATCCGAGAGAGAATTTCAGTCAGCGCAGCTAACACCATTTGGCAGTTTTGTACATTTGTGACACTGTAGGCGACTTAACAGTGAACTCGATAACGATACGAAATGTGAGAATAAAAATCCGAGTTCATGAAAAAATATTGAGCCAGTATATCATAGAAATACAGATAACGAGTTATAAAAGTTAATTTTTACTTAAAAATGCAGTCACACTCCACTACTACAAATTATCAATATATTCCACAAATCCGTTACACTGCTGAAGTCATATCCACTGGTCGAACTTATTTATTGGTTGTAGAATTATCTTCGGATGAAGATGAGATTTAACTGCAAATTCCAAGGAATACAACACGGGTATTGGAGGAGCAGGAACCAGTGAGAAGAACGAATTGATGGACAGCAAGACTACATCTCTATTCGAACGCGGGCAGGATGGAAACTGGCATAAATTTGACGCACACAAAATACTTGGAGGATCTGGACTTCGCCTTCTGATTTCCCACAAACTGGAAGATATGCAAGTGAAAAGCAACAAGTTGGCAGTAGAAGCTTCAAAGATAGGACTTCAGATGAATATAGAGAAGACAGAGGCTGCTGAAGATTCCTGGCCAACAGTAACAGCAACAACAACAGACAACAATCAGCACAAATGGGAGAAATGTGAAAGAAGCAACCTCCTTCACCTACCTACCAACCTGGGGAGCATCGTTTCAACTACAGACAGACAGTACTGACGACGATATCAAAGCAAGGATCGGGAAAGCCAGACAGGCTTTCATTACTCTCAAGTCTGTGTGGGGATCACAGCACTTATCATGAAAAACAAGATGCGGATTTTTAACTGCAATGCGAAGTCAGTGCTATTATACGGATCAGAGACTTGGCGCTGTGCCGCGTCACGAAAGGCACTTCGAACAAACTAAAGACCTCCATCAACAACTGTCTTCGTTCAATACTTCGCTCAAGATCAGATAGCCGGCCAGAGAAGATCAGTAACAGGGATCTCTGGCAATGAACGAACCAATCAGGAACCGATTGTGCAACAAATTTACAGGAAGAAATGGAGGTTGATTGGCCATAGTCTGAGAAAACAAATCATCAAGTGAGTGACATCACATGCCATGCCATCACTCGAGTTGAACCCGAATGGGAAGCGGCGAGTTGGTCTTCCGAGAGTGACATGGGTGACATGAAGGAGGTCATGTGAAGATGAGATGAAAGCATGTGGGCAGACGTGGAACCAGGTGAAAAGGTTGGTGGAGAACCGAACGCAGTGGAGACGTGCGGCTGAAGCCCAATGTTCCTCTAGGAACTAAAGGAAACAATAATAATAGTAAGTCAATTACTCACTCACTCACTGAATCACTCACAAGCAAACAAATCCCTTTTTTTTAATAGAAATAATGAAAATTATATTAATGATACTGACAAAAGGAGGAAGTAATGCATAGAACTTTTATAAATTAATAAATCAAAGACGAAATAAGATGAACTAGTGGAATGATTAAATAGCATCAAAGATAAAGATTGAATGTATGAAGAAGGATTTCAACGGTTATTGAATTTCTCCTCAAAATCAAGTCAGTTTTGAATGTCCTACTCTGCGTGTGTGTGTGTTTCTGTTGCAATGTTCAATACTGACAATTTCTACTTTTTCTCTCAATTAATTTCTGTTGTTTCCCTGAAGACTTTTTATTGTTACTATTGAAAGTGTTCACCGCCTCTTGTGCCTCACCAATCAGCAGTCTGTCAACTTGTCTACACGCTTGACTTAACTTATACAATGGGTGTATACCACTACTATGATTGTCTGTATAGCTGATTTCTCTAAAACAGTCTGAGGCTGAATTACTCCAATCAGTGTACAGCTTGTTGTCTGGATTGATTGGAATACTTTGAAATACATTTGGCGGTTTCGATATCATTGAACAAAAAGGATCTGTCAGTGGTGGATAGTGTTTTTCAGCAGTATTGATTAATTCATTCCCTTTTACTTTATTATACGTTTCAATTGTTTCTTGTGAATAGATACCTTCACCTTCTAGATGTTCTGATGGTTGGTAGTGTTGAAATTGACTGTCAACACTTCGGTGTAACATGCCTTCATTTTGGGTATTTTTCATATGGTGCATAGGAGTGTATTGGTCACTGGTTGAAGGAATAAACTGGGATTTTTCATTATATATTGAGCTATTATTATTCAGCGTTAAATGTTGAATTCTTGTTGGTGAAGGAAGATTTACGTCAGTGTGATTTATACAGGTTGTTGGTGTTGTTATATTTGTAGTCGATAGAGTTGATGTGATTACTCCTGACGTTGCAGTTGGTGTTGTGATTGTTGGTGTCGCCGTCGTCGTCGCTGAGCTGTTAGGCTGAACAACACGTTCAGTTTTACGGAACTTGGCACGTCGATTTTGAAACCAAACCTATAAACAAATAGAAAGCAGATATAACAATATTAATAATAATGATTTTATTCTAAACATTGCTATTTGATACAAGGTGAATGGAAGTGATACTGACCTCCCCCCGGAACTATCAGTGGCGGGAAGCGTTGGTGTGTGATTCTTGTGGACAGAGGTTTTAATCTCACCTCTTTGGGAATATGCTCCTCCTCAATTCTAAGGTTATTTTTTACAGTTGAACTTTGGTTAACTAGCTATATCTTACAGCACTCATTTTGCATTTAGAAACCTCATTTGCATGTATAGCTAGCTGCCTCACGGCACTGTGGAGGTAAATCTGAGTTCTGATGTTGTTATTATTGCTTAATGGAACTGCTAAAATACTGGAGAATAATTGGAACGTTTTGTGATAGCGTGTGTCTCAACAAAGTTTTGTCGGCCACACAGCAGAACGCAGAGATCTGTATCTGTCATTGAGATTAGTATTTAAATCTTCTCGCTTACTCGGTAGTATCCCAGCCCGATTATATAGGCAGTTAACTGAAAAAATCTTTACAGATTCTGGATGGGATGAATTAAAGTTTAAGTATTTAATAGTGTGTCCGTTTCCTATAAATGCTACTATCTAACCTACCATCTTGTTTTCGTTTTGATTCCATTATGGTTAAAATTTATTTTGCTAAAGCCATACAGTGTTAAACGTTACTAATAACGTTTTGAGCACAGTTAATTACTCATAATCATATTATATCATAAGCAACTTCTTTTCGTTTTGTTTTACAGTCTAGCATGACCAGCGCATCTTGTTCGTTTTCTAATTCAGAAGGGAATTGGATTGTGTCTACTATTCAGTCTATATGTGGGACAGAGTGAAAGTACTAAAACCTAATATAGTTAGGTGGAGTATGAGAATCTTTGTTTATCGATTCAATACCACACACGTCCAATAGAAATGACGCAACGCCTACACCGGCTATATGGAAAGTGGCAACAAACAACAAGAGGAAGTTGGAGAGAGAGAGAGAAAATTTATATAAAACAAACTGTGACTCCGTGTGACTAAATTGATATGATTATGAGTAGCAATAACTTGTGCTCGAAACCATGTCATCCAGTTGTTAATACTGCTTCATCACTGTGTGATATTTGAAATAAACTCATCTAATGTGGAATTGCATTCTACTACACTGCCCACATTCTGCACTTGCATTATTGACCTAAACTTCATATGACTCTTTGGTCCTTTACAACAGTATACTGCTAACATCGATTTAGCCTAAGCATTCTAAAATTGAATATTTGTGAAGCGTAGAACTGGAGGTTAAATATTACCATGATTTTTACCTCTCAAACTAACACTGCAAATAGCGTCGAGCTTGTTCGAAACCCAAGTAGCATATACTACTGAAATGGTTTCTTTCTTCAGTCCCTTACCTGAACTCTAGCCTCAGTAAGATCGATTCGCAGCGCCAAATCTTCTCGAGTATAAATATCAGGATAATGTGTTTCTTGAAAGGCTTTTTCAAGTTCTTTCAATTGAAAACTAGTAAATGTTGTACGAATTCTTCTTTGTTTACGTTTTTCGTGTAGATTTGTAATACTTAAACATAAATTTGATAATACGGGACTCGGTTGTAGTGTGTTACCTGTTGAATGAATAGCCATAGCTGAATTATCTAAATTAGCAGGCTTACTGATATCATTCTTATTGTTATTTGAAGTTTTAACGCTGAAATTAGCATCATGATATGGATTGATAGATAGTTCATCTTCATATGAATCTGATTCGTTTGAATTCGTTGTCATGGTGTTATAATATAAGTGATTATTTATTGGCGCCGGATTAAAACTGAACGGTACATGTGGTTTTGAAAAGTCACTATTCACTACTGATCCGTATTTTGAAGTTAATGATTGTAGCATCAATTCATCTGGATGGATCTTGTATTGGGAATGATCTGAAAAGACAGAAAGTCAATAAGAATACTGGCTGGTAACTATGCGAAATATTAAGTCACATTAGTAGGGTGTAAAAATTTCAGTCTAGCAGTTTATTTAATTAGCTTATTGACAATTACCTGAATGAAGTTCAGATCAGTTTGTTGAACGAAACTTTGGGATCTCATGTTTCAAAACGGCTGAGATTTCTACAAACATCACTTCGATGTTTATCTAAGTCATTATTAAAAGGATGGTTGTGGTGAAGAAAATTTTCTTTTCAACGAAGTTTTCAACTAGACAGCTGCACATTCGTGTATTTATAGGAAGTAGGTGAGGAAGTCCCACAACTATTTCCGGTTGATCAGTGGGCAAATTAATGAAATTGCAAAGTGTAATAAACTGGAACATCGGATAAAAAACGTAGTAGCGTCATAAATTACTAAGAAAATTGGTTATTTTTGTGCAATTAGGGATTAGAAGTGTAGTAATAAGAAAGTAGGTAGGAAGTTCGGATAGAAGACATAGTAATGCAGATAGGGATTTTAAACAAAAGAAGTCGTGACCAGTGAGGTCCAATTAGATATCACGTGTGTGAATGGATGTCCCACCAACGACACTGGTTGGGGTCGAGCTAAATCACGAATCGATAGAAGTTAGAATTCATGAGCCATTGAACCGAGTCCCAGTGGCTGAACGGTATACGAGCTTGCCTTGTAACCGGAAGGTCCTGGGTTCGAATCCCAGTGGGTGCGTACTGCCGATGATTCCCAAACTAGGATGAAACAGCAGCTGTCCAGTACTCCCTGGTTTTCTCTAACTGATATCAGTCCGTGATCAACTCGTAAAAAGAAGTAAACATAGCAGAAATAAACAGGAAGATTGGATTTGAAAGGTAATAATATAATAATCATTGATAGGACTGACGTTTTATAATGACCATATTAGGGACAACGGTTGGACATATTTATTTTGAATAAATAGTACATGCTTGAACTTTTGCGTCGCCATTGCTTCAGCTGTTGTCAGCTGCTTTGATTTCACTCGCATCTAGGAGGCTTGATCGAATCTTCTATATGATCTTGAAGGACTTTTCGAATGGAGCTGAATATCCTGAATTCAGTGGATGTGCTGTTACTAACTAACTAATACACCCTTGCGTTCTTCCTCTGCCAGCCAGCCAACTGGGATGAATAGTGTTCCCGACAGCGTTTTACAAGCGGAAGCATAGTATCGTCAATGTATTTGGCTCCACATGAGCAAGTTGATTGATTGTTATGAGCACTTCCTATACCTATTTCTTATAAATACACTAATTTACAGCCTAGTTGACGGTGACTTTGTTGAAAAGAAAATTTTCTTGTCTTGAACAGTCTTTTTAATAATTCCTGTGATCTAATGTGCATATCTAAGGGAAATCTACTTTGATTGGACATAGATGAGTAGCAAGGTCTTACGTCTAGTCCTTCGTTCGGTGATAAAGTGCAAAAGAAAACCTAGGTCAAGCCTTTCTGCCCCAACCATCTATTTAAGTGAAATTATTTTTAATACATCAAAGAGTGCCGACATGTTTGAAATGTGAACTAGTATAAAAGAGGGTAAAATGATTTAAAAAATCAACGACACAAAATCTTATTTCTAACGGAATATGCATTAGAAATTAAAGCCTGCTCTCACAATATTTGCTTGAACTTATTTATCCAGACCACGTACTTCTCAATCAGATTGAGACCTACAGTTTTCGTGTGGAGATGAAGTAGATGAGGTGGGATGCAACCTGTGACCTGTTGCTTGAAATTCTGCTTTTCAATCCAATGAGTTATCGAGACCTAAACAATAAATTTGTACAGTTTTCGTCAAATGTTGAAAATGGACACCTTGTAAATAACTTTTGTTTAATCGACTTCCTTGTCAATGACGTGTAACTTTGGAGTTTGAACAGAAATGTGGTCGTGCTGTCCATCACTTCGTCTTCTCACTGGCTCCAACCATCTTCTTTCTCCACCAATATCCGTGCTATGTTTTTTGGAATTTCCAGGATCATCTCATCCTCGTCCGAAGACTACTCTACAACCAATAAACAAGTTCATCCAATGGATATGATTCCAGCAGTGTAACGGAGTGTGACTGAATTTTCAAGTAAACATTAACTTTTATAACTCGTTATCTGTATTTCTATGATGTACTTACACAATAGTTTTACACTAACTCAGATTTTTCAATGCTGCATGCCAAGTAATCCACAACGGGAAAATTACGGAATCCTTCGAAGTGAGGACAGGAGTAAGACAAGCTGGTTGCCTACTATCGCCAATGATTTTCCTGATTGCAGTAGACTGGATAATGCGACAAACAGTGGGCAATGAGGAAACAGGCATAAAATGGACACACACAAAAACTTGCAGAATCTGGACTTCGCCGATGATGATATATGTCTGATTTCCCACAAACTGGAAGATATGCAAGCGAAAAGCAACAAGTTGACAGAAGAAGCATCCAGAGGAGATAGGACTTCAGGTGAACATAGAGAAAACAGAGGTGATGTATATTCCTGCCAATAGCAACAGTTGCAAGAACAGAAAACAATCAGCATAAATGAGAGGAACCTGAAAGAAACAACCTACTTCACCTACCTAACTAGGAAGCATTGTCTCAACTACAGGCGGAACTGACGAGGATATCAAAGCAAGAATCAGGAAAGCAAGACAAGCTTTCACTACTCTCAAGTCTGTGTGGAGGTCAACAGCATTCAGCGTCAAAAATAAGATCCGGATTTTCAACTCGAATGTGAAGTCAGTGCTACTATACGGATCAGAGACTTGCACTACGCGTCATAAAGAGCACCCCAAACAAACTACAAACCTTCATTAACAGTTGTCTCCACTCAATACTCAAGATCAGATGGTCAGCCAGAAAAGATCAGCAACAGGGATCTCTGGGAGCGAATCAACCATGAACCAATTGTGAAACAAATAGGCAGAAAGAAATGGAGATGGATTGGCCATACTTTTAGGAAACCATCAAGTGACATCAGTAGACAAGCCATTGCTCGAGTGGAACCCGAAAGGGAAGCGGCGAGTTGGTCGTCAGTGCAAGGGTGACTTGGAGGAGGTCATGTGAAGAGGAGATGAAAGCATGTGGGTAGGTGGACATGGAGCCAGGTGAAGACTCTAGCAGAGAACCGAACGCAATGGAGACGCACGGCTGAAGCCCTATGTTCCTGTGGGAATTAAAGGAAACAATAATAATAACTCGGATTTTTATTCTGATATTTTGCATAGTTATCGAGTTCATTGTTAAGTCACCTGCAGAGTCCCAAATGTACAAAACTGTCAAATGCTGTTAGTTGCGCTGACTGAAATTCTCTCTCGGATCGTTTATAATATGCTGAAAAATTACTCATTCGAAAAGGTCCAAACGACTCCTTCACTTATCATAGTCTCTATACTCTCTGTTTTATGAAGAGAATTATTTGTCATTTCTTTGATCCGGTTTATTTGTCATGGTCTTCTCCAACAGTGCAAGGTTTTAAGATAATTGAAATGTCATCCTTTATTTTTGGTTGATTTGAAGTGGTTAGTTGACTACATTAGACATTCAATTCCATCATAAGTTCTGCCTCAATACAAACTAGGAAGTGTTGACACAGACTTACAGCAGCTTAAATCTAAGTATGGAGAGGTAAGCACATTTAAAACCAGTTACCGTGATCACTGTTTGCATTCAGCGGCAACATTAAAGAATAGACATCATAGGTAGGTGACCTTGAATCAACCAATCAGATCTCTGCCCAGCATTACATATTGATGCTCTTCATAATCTTCGTTGTAAGATTCGTCCTAATCTGAATTGTAACCTCACCCTAACCTCAACCCTGAATTAGGATAAAACTTGGAAGAAAGATTATGAAAAGCATCGATTTTTTGCAATGCCGAGCGATCTGATTTCTTGGTTCAAGGTCATTCGACTCTGGTTTCCATCTTTTATTAACTGTTACCCATTTGACATTACCGGGAAGCTGTTGTTAGGTGTAATATTAACTTCCAAGAATTTTTCAAGTATTGGTTTTGTAGGAATTTTGTTTGATTGGATGGAGGATTTCATCATGAGCTGAAATCAGTTAGAGAACTACTGGAAAACTTGGGAGTACTGGGCAGCTATTTCGTCCTAGTTTGGGACTGTTCAGCATTACGCAACCACCGACAGGGTTCGAACCCAGGACCTTCTGGTTACAAGGCCAGCTCGTAGACCATTAAGCCACTGGGACCCGATCCAATGGCCCATGGATTCTAGCTTCTACCAATTCACCACAGTTTCGCAATATCTTCTTCGATGAGTTACCGCCTCATCTTCAAGAACTTGAACATCTAAAGTTAGCAATGACGTAGAATGTTAATTATCTTGCTAACTTGATCAGTGTATAGAAATGGAAAGCTACATTAATTAAGATTCGAAGTAGAACTCACTCACATCGTCAAATCCTACAGAAAACCCTAACAACACATTTAATTCGATGGTGAAGACTCTGAGTAAAGTGGGTATCACATTTATGGGTGCTTAACGTTTATGAATTACACTCAGGACAGGTTACTTTAGCACGGTTCCTGTCGGTTGAGTCCTCACATCTAGAAGAAGATTAGATTTGTCTGGGAGTTCTTTTAAATATGAACGAATTAGTCAGTTTATATTTTCAATTCACATATATGCAACATATGCTTGATTGTAACAAGAAGTTTTATAGTTATTATTGTTGTTATTATGATTTAATTAGAATAATTCGCCCTATTCATCATTCATCCATTCATAATTGTGTTACGGTCAGTTGAACTTGATAAAGGATAACTTGGCTATTGTTCTATGTTCAGTCTTTTATTTTCTTAAAGATGTGATCATTACAAAAGACGGATCAGATGGTGATCATTGGAAAGTTCTTTTGATTCACCCTTCTCTCTCCCCTATTGTTCATTTTTATAGATGTAATGTCATTGCATAACAATTGATGGGTTCATTCATCTATTTA